ATAACTTAACCTGTTCAGTGCCGCATTTTAACTTGAAGCGTTAAGAAAGAGGAAACAGAAACACATATTTATTGCTTGAAAGTTAGGATAGAGGCTTGGATAAATGCTGCTTCAAAAAATCAGTAGCCAAACCAGGCAATCAGAAAGAAAAAAGTTCCCAGAGAGAAACGAGTTAACTAGGAAGAGGCACATTGGTGCCAATATCTCGGCCCGAGTTAACTTGGGAGCAGCACTGAACGGATTAAAGGCAGTTTATATTATCTTATGATCATTATTCTGTCTAGTGTCTTACAGAAGTAGGTATGACATTTTTATTAACATTATGTTGAGATATTTGTAATCGCATTCTTACTGGTTAAAAGGAAGTATAGCTTTCTGTCAAGTTCGAAACATTCATTAGCTTTCAGCAGTCCGAGTTATTGAAACTAAATCTCATTCTGTATGTTACTTTGATTGGTTAGTTTGTGTCTTGCTTATGATTTGTTAAACCATGACTGTTGTAAAGTTATATATATAACCTTGTAACACTTATCACTCTTTAGTATTATTCTGTTATTCTGCTTGCTTAGTATTATTCTGCCTGTACTTATTTATCTGTGCTATTGCTTGTACTTAGTATTATTCTGCTTGCATGTAACTCTGCGTATTACTCTGCATATCTCAGTAATAAATATTTGTTTTGCGAACCACGGCATTTTCTATGTGATTTTGATTTGGTTTATTGTGAATGATGGCTTTTTCCGGAGGTGAAAGGGAAGCGTTTGGTGTAGCGCCATTTGATGGCGTTAATAACTTTACTGTTTGGTGTCGAAGAGTTCGAGCAGTATTTACGGCAAGGGAATTGGATACGTGTTTGGAAACAGAAGCAGTTGCGAACAGAGTTGCAGATGTTTTGAAATCAAAAAAGGCTTATGCCTTAATACTGCCTTCTAAGTGACAAGGTTATTGCTTCTTTCAACGAAGACACTGCAGTAAAATATGGAGAAGAACTACAAGCTACTTATAGCGCTAAAGGTGCAGTGAGTCAAATTTAACGCGTAAACGTCTAGCTACCATAAGGAAATCCAAGGATGTGTCAATGAGACAGCATATCGATAGCATAAGAACCTGGTGAGTAGTTAACGTCTCTGGCTTGAAGTAAGCGATTTTGAGATTATTATTTACATTTTAATGTCTTTGCCCAAAAGAATATGAAAAATATTTTGGCATCTCTAGAGAAATCGCCAAGCGATAATTTGAGTTTAGTTTGTTACAAGTAGACTTAGTGATGTGAATCTTTAGGTGTTGATTATAAAAATGAAACTAAATATGCTAAACCAAATACAGAGAATCGTTTTTATTATGCTCGTAAGAATTGTTTTGTACTTATGTAAAGAAAAGGACATCTGTTAATTTTGTAGGGAAAAGAACTGCGTTTGTCATAACTGTGGGAACACTGGTCATTTGAAAATGATGTTTTGATTTGTTGTTTTTAATCTAAAAGCAGGCAAATCAAATTATTTTAAGTATTGCTTCCCCTGCAAATCTTTTATGTTAAAATTTGTGCATGATCTTATTCTTGATTCTTTTTTCTTTTCATTGTTTCTAACAAGGAAGGTTCACCTCAATTAGCCTAAGACTTGAACTGTTAAGTGCGCGTCTAAGGCGGCGGTTTACAAGTGGAAGAATGGTGATTTGTGGGAAAACTAAGATGGTGTTGAAAAAATAATGTAACAGATGTCTTTACGTTCAAATTAAACGGAAATCAATTCTGTTAAAAAAAAAAAAAAAATATATTGATTGAGCACAGGTTTGAGTGTAATTTTTTAAAAAGGAAAATAGTTTATTATTTGAAACAAAAACAAGCGTCTTAGATTTGGAGGATATTGGAAATTAAATGCGGACAATATTTTAGTATTTTTCACCAATTTATTTACAGTTTGCAGTAACGAATGATGATTTATGGCAACAGAAGCTAGGACATGCTGTGTCAAAAATTAAAATGATGATCTTCAGCAAAAGAATCCTTTTGTGAAAAGTTGTGTTGTGCCAAACAAAGTGCTGCCTATAGGAAGAGGTCCTCGCATACATAAAAGCTCCAAACCTTAAAATATACACACTGATTATGTAGTCCAATAGAACTCAAACACTCCATGGGGAAAAGGTTTATTTCATTGAATTTGATTGGATTCGAGATTTATGGAAATCAGACTGCTCAAAAGAAAAAGTGAATTGCTGATAACTCAAGCTATTATTTAAATTGATGCAACGTTGCAAAACTGCGCTGTTTGACAATGGCAAGAATATGTTCAGTGGAGAATGGCATGAAGTTACTAAAAGAGCAGGTGTAAAAATCGATCCTTGCACCCTCCTATAAATCTTTTCTAAATCGTGTTTGAACGAGCAAATAGAACTGTACTGGAAAAAAGAGAGACAATGATACTGAGGCAAATTACAAAATTCTTGGGGTAAGCGTTACTAGGCTTGCCTTACATAAATAATCGGACTCCCAAATAGTTCCGTTGACAATCATGTCCTATTTTCTGAAGGATGGTGAAATCTGCTTTTAAAAACCCTGTGTGTATTTGGCTGTGAGGCTTACCTGACATCGCAAACGCAGAGCAACCTATGTCTTTGCGACGATATTTGTAGGTTATCCCAATGGGCGGCGTTTTTTTAATGATCCAGAAACAAGAGCTTCCTTGTTTCCGCCCTTGTTAAAAAGAGCAAAGAAGAAAATCAAATCAATGTCTATTTGGTTATTTGATTTGTGAAAATACACTGATGACATTAAACATGAAGACAAATCAATTTCGCATGATAAGGGCTTCCATGCTGCATAAGAATCGGCCCCACGAGCAGAACATCCTCAAGCGCACCGACACCGCCAGTAGGTATCCTGCTCCTGAGATTACCAAGTATGTTTGACAAGACACTCTGAATTGAAGATCTTGTCCTTTTCCCACAAGTAGAACAAGACCATGGACAAGAGCTATGGGAGGAAATGCAACTATGGAAGATAACGATTTGTCTGGGATCTACAAACGTTACCCCCTGAATAAAGAGCCATTCCTGCAAAGGGTCTACGTAAAAAACGAGATGGAACTAAAAAAGCGCGGCTTTGCTGTGGTTTTAGGCAAAAATAGGCATAGATTTATACAGGAATTACGTTTTTCCAGTGATTAGTATGTGTCTTTAGTTTAAATCCGGTAATTATCAATAATTGAAGTCTGCAAATTTTACGTTAGATGTCAAGACAGCTTCTTGACGGTAAGTTAGATGAACCATCACATGGACCAGCCCAAAGGATATGATGATATGGTGGCGTGGTAAGAAATGTAAACTAAAAGAGTTTTATATGTCTAACAGTCTCCTCGACAATGCGCTCAGAAAAATTTTTAATTTGTTATTAAATTAGATTTAAGCACTTGGACTTGACCATGTATTTTTTAAGAAATAATTGTAATGAAAGTAATATGGCTCTTATGTAGATGATTATTAATGCAGGGTAGATGTAAACGAAAACAAAGATTATAATATAATTGTTATCAATGAATTTCCAAAATGCAAAAGCGTTCGCGAATTTTGGGATTAGATGAAATTTGAGTCTGGTTGTTCTATTTTGACAAAACCCATATATTGAAAAATTACTTGATAAATTAAAATGTCTGATTGTAAAAAAGCCAACTCCCATTCAACCAAAATTTACAGCCCTGCTTTCAGAAGGAAATGCCTTTCCTGGCCATACACGAATAATTGGTTTTTCTTTACTCGCATTATACAAGGCCAGAGATTATTTTTGCAGTAATTGCTTGAGCCAATGCAGGAGATCGTACTGATGTTGCCTGGTGTGCTCTAAAAAGTATTCTAGGTACTTGAAAACCACCTGAAATTAAAATTGCTATACAAAGGGTGGTGATTTGGGGAAAGGGCAAACTGGGTTGTATTGTCCGTGGGGGGGGGGGGGGGGGGGGGAGATACTCAAGATAGGAAAATCAATTATGGTTATTTTGTAATGCTTTCATGTCCTTTATGTGGTGCTGTAACACGCAAAGGGTATGCACTTTCATCACAGAAGCTGAAAATTGCTTATGGAAAGGATTCAAGATGTTTTATGGTAAAATAACATGTGAAAGAATTTCCAGTGTTTTAAAAATGTTATATTTTGAGGATTAACCAGTCTGTATCAAAAGTTGTTTAATGACAACTTTTCAGGTAGGTTGAAAACATATAGTATAAATAAAGTTCACTCGTAAGACTGTTAAGGAACAATAAATTAGATTGAATAGTACAATCAGGTTACAAATTGCAGATATGTTAATAAGGCTTTGTCCAAATAAAATTATGAACTGTTTCTTTAGCTGTTTAAAATTGTGGCAATCTTATGTTTTGTAGAATGTGCGATTAAGGGGAAGTTTTGGAATTTTAAATCGCATCTTTGGTTAAAGGAAGATCTTTTGTCAGTTCGAAACATTCATCTAGCTGTCAGCCTGGTCTTTTTTCTGAAATTAATCTCATTTGTATGTATTTGATGGTAGCTATTGTGTCTGTTTTTTGTTATCCTGATTGTTGGTTAAATATTGCTTTGTAACACTTATCCCTTGGAATTCTATTCGCTCTTTATGTTATTCTTATGTTGTATTATTTGAATTACTTATTCCGGCTATTGATTGTTTTTATTATTCTGCTGCATGTAATCTGCGTATTACTCTGCATATCTCAGTAATAAAATATGTGTTTGCGCACCACTGCATTTTCTAGTTGAAACACATTCGAATATTAAGAAATTAATGTTCTCAGTAATAACCAAAGTGTTAGATGGGAGATTTTTAGAAAATCCCTTTAACGTGTTCTGTACATAACTATAAGCCTTAGTGCTTCCAACAGTAAAACACTTTAATACACATCAGCATAATGTAACTTAATTATTATGTGGACTTTTTAGAATTTTCTAAAATCTAATGACTTTTTTTCCTTTGATTGAAGTAGTTTATATATCTTATTTTTTAATTTTGTTTCAGAATTTTGACATTGAAAAATTATTTTTATCACCTGAAGAAAATGCTGTTCTAAGTGTAACTGATGAGAAACTTAAAAGAAAATCTTCAAATCTTCAGGCAAAAGAGGTTTGTCATAAAGCTTCACAACATTACATAGTGATATAATTTCATCAATGACGAGATATTAGCCCACAGAAGAAACCACACAGTCATGATTGCCCACAGGGCAAAAACCCACACAGTGGATAAAAGCATTTATTGATAAATGCCTACAATTATAAAAACCGGCACAGATATATATGTTATGCACAAGAAAATAGTTCTTGCATTATTTTCAGCTTATGCTGAAATTATGCAGCAAATTCTTATGTCAAAATTTAGTGTGCTTCAAAATAGAAACATGTTCTCAAAACTACGCATTGTATTTAAATTTTTTTAAAATTGTATGTATAAAATATTATATAATATACACTTAGATATTATTTTAACCTTGAATAACTCTGACCAGAGAAGAATACAGGAGGTGCTGGTCCTACAGCTTTCTTTGAAATGTATAAAATTATAAACTGTATAAATTGCTTGTAAATATGCATCCTGTACAGAGAGTAATTAATTTAAATTCTTTAATAGTTGCAGAAAATTTTTTTGTGTATGAAGTTAATATGCAGAAAGAAGAATAAAATGATTTTTTTCAGCAAAAGAGAGTTCCTATTGTAATAAAAAAATAATCATCAAGTGGGTGTTGCATTATTAAAAGTTAAAGATCTTAACTGATAGTTTGTTTTATGGAATATTATAACAAATTCTGTTTTCAGAAGTACTAATATTTATTTTAAATTACTTCTAAGGTACACCACAATGATATTTTTCATTGTAATTTAAGTAGACACCCTTAGTATGCTTTACTGAATCCAAGTAATCCATACTTATTCATATCCATTTTCATGATGGGGAGAAGAGGAAAACAATCCATAAAATTTGGAAAATAATAAGTGAAATAAAGTTAAAGCTTCACACTTATCATCAAAGCATTATAGCTAACTGGTTAATCAGTAAGCAGATCAATTCACATTCTTTGCATTCACATAAATACAGTCAAAATCATTAATCCGGACGCCCATAATCCAGAATGATCTATAATCCTGGCGTTGACGCATGCGGAATACTTTACACATGGATATACCGTTTATGCTGCGTTTAATGTACAACGGACGAATAAGCTAAGCTAAAATATCTATTCCAGTTAATGTTGCAGATTGCGTGTTCTTAATCTCGAGAACCGGCTTATATTTTTTGCAGACTGTTAGAGCAATTTATAAAAGCACGCTGATTTCGATTTGCAAGAGAATTTCTGATGCTGGAGAGGCCAAAGGATATACAAAGCGAAAGGATGTTTACGGATTGCCATCAAACAAAAGTGGAATGCTGCAACAAATGATAAGGCATATCCGTCTCAAATTATGCGAGGAGTATAACATTTGGAAAGTAACGGTATATGACAAAGCAAAAAAAAAGGAACTTTTGAATTTTGTGGATTCTGACAATCCTTGCCGTGAATAACAGAAAAAGGGTATGTTATGCGAAAAGTGGTGATCATGACAAAGTGTTGATTGAAGGGCAGACGCATCGCCGGACGGGCGGGCATTGACGGTTCCAATGGTAATGGGTCAAGCCAAATATTTCATGAAGACATGAACTAAAGGAGAGTGCACATATTTGAAGGTTGGTTACCAAATTTGAAAAATCCTGGTATAAGACATGAAAAAATTCAGGTGAAAAATCTTCAGTGAATGAAGCTGCCGAACAATTGCAGATGATTCATTGAAATTCATTACTAGTGAAAAATATCTGCAGACAAATTACAATGTGATGAAAATGTCTTTTTGGCAAAGTACCGGAAATCTCCCTGGCAACCTCACGAAAAGGTCCAACTGGGTCAAAGATTCTAAAAGCTGTGACTAAAAATTTTAGCGTGTGCAAATACGCTAGGAAGCACAGTCGCACTTTGTAATGGGAAAACAGCACGACCTTGAGCGTTTTTTTTAAAGGAGAGTAACATTTCCCTGTTATATATCGGCAGATAAAAGAGCATGGATGACACAGGTTGATGAAATGTTGGTTTGAAAATCGTGATACCCGAGGCGGCGACATTTGAATCGATGGTTTACCTGATGACTCAAAAATATTCCTGATGTTGATAACTGTTCTGCCGATACTTCACTTAAAGTTTAGTGAAAGATATGTATCCGTATATTCTTCCTCCAAATTGTACATCTTCGCCTATGGATATGGGATGTGCCGTTGTTGAAATGAAATATAAAGCAGCATTTTAAAAATATGTTAAATTTCCTTGAACTGGCAAGACTTCAAGACTTTTGAAATTTCTAGCATAAAATCTGCTTGTGGAGCATCGCAAGATCGTGGAGGATGTGTCTCCAGAAAGGCTTGGCATAATTTATGGCCATCTATCATATTTCATGGTGAGGAGGATGAATAGATAGCCGCGAATTGGGCGGACATCGCAAACTAAAGGTGATGAAATTTCCGTTAGGGATTGTAAAGAATGTGAAGAAGCGGTAGATAAATAAGATGATATAAAGAAGTTTTTCATTGCGACGACTGCCCGATCAGTCAATTAATGGCAGCGAAAATCTGTAGTTGGTTCTAGATCCAAAAATATCGCTTCCTATAGTGAAGAAATGACAGAGAGGTATTGACAAAAGTTTGTATTCTCGACACAGCAATTATAGGACTTGACAGCGGAACTTGAACTGAACAAGAAAGATGTCTGTTTATAGAATTAAAGAGAAAGTATATCACATAAAACGAAGCAACCTAACAATTTACATTGAATAAAATGTAACTAAAGTAAACAAATAAATATTAACTTTTTTTTTTTTTTTTTTTTTTTTGTTTTTTTGTAATTTGATACCCTTTAGACCATAATTGTCTTTCATTTCATAAATTGGTTATATTTTTAATTTATTTCTCATGCCATCTTTACCAGATTTCAACTGATGATCTATAATCTGGGAAAATCAATAATCTGGAATCGCCGAAGTCCCGACGAGTCTGGATTAAAGACTTTTGACTGTATTGTGAAACACACTTTTCATTTGTTAGGTTGCTATCTTAGATGAGTAAGACTGCATTGTAGAGTTTATCTCTTCCATATATACCAAGCACACTTTTGAGACATCAAAAATCAGTTTCATAGGACTCAGTTACTCCATTTATTGTAATTACAAACATAAATACATTTTATATTAATAACACTTATGATTTGCATTGATAACAGTTATGTGTTTGTTTACTTATGTGGGCTTTCCTTCTTGTGGATATTTGTCATGTAGGGTATCATGACTGTGCAATATCTTCTATAGGTTTTTGTCTGGGAACCAGTTTCATCAACATTTTTATGCAGTTGTTTATAACAGTCACTCTTTGTAAAGTGTTCTGTATCAGAGGTTTGTATTTTAATTAGCTTAAGTAAATAAGAATTTTATTATAGTTTAATTAAGAGATTGATATTTAGTCATTAATTAATTTAATAACTTTGTATGTCATAAATATTGATGCTATCTCACACTCAATTTTGTCATTGTAAAGCATATTATTATCTGTAAAGAACTCAATTTAATATTCTTTGCATGTATTATTTAGATTAAAGTGACCTCCTTAATTAGACCTAAATAGATCCCATTCTTGTAGACCTATTTGGTTGAAACTTGGTACATATACATTATATGGACCATGGGGAAAAGAAAACTGCATTAAAAAGCAATAGTTCAAATTTCGACTTCCAGGTGAGAAGAAAGGCACATGAAGAACAGAAAACACAAACTTTATTTAATCACAGCATTTGTTGAATGTGTATTCCATTTGCAACAAACACATGTTGAAAGTGTGTTATAGCATGTTCAACAGTAGTGTGTTTCTCAATCAGTTGCAGCAACATGACATGTTATGCTTGCTTTCAATTTAGACATAGTCTGTGAGCTTCGTGCACAAATTCAATCTTCAGAAATTTCTATAATCAGAAGTCACAGGAGTTCAAGTCTGGAGAGCAAGGAAGTCAAGCAGTCAGAAATTTTCTCTAAAGTGAGCATGAAGTTGTACCCTCACTGGTCCAGCAATGTGAGGTGGTGCACCATGTTGCATTAGGATAGTAGTCTCTAATCTTATTCTTGGAATGCAAGAATGACTTGCTACTGAAGAAGTTCACTGAAACAAGCAGCCACAATGGAACACCTTTGAGGACCTTGAGAAGTGTCCTCCTCAAAGTACAAAAGGCCAAAGAATGAAATCAGCAGTAAAACCACACCATGCAGTATTGTAATAAGGATGCAGAGACTATTCATACACAACATTAGGACTTGCAGTGCACCGTATATAACAGTTTTAAGTATTAACTTTTCTATAGGGTAAAATGCAAGTTGTCGAACCACAAAATGTTCCAGGGTCATGCATTGTCAACAGCTATTCTGGCCAAAAGATAGCTAGCAGAATCAGTCTATTTGTCACTGTCGTCAGGATGCAGTTCTTTCAGAATCTGGATCTTGTATGGGTACCACTTTGCAATGGATTGCAGAAACTTTTATATTGTCAACCAAGAGAGAGAGAAATCATGCGACACCATTCAAGCACTTGTCTGAGAATACTGAGAATTGGATACTCTTTCGACCACAGTAAGAGCGACATCTTCCACAGTTTCATTTGAAATCCATTTCCGTCCTCTTACTCGGAGCACACACAACTCCCCAGTCTTTTCAAATTTAGTAATCATACATTTCCAAACCCTGCCTCAACATAGGCCCTTTTTATAAACCTTTCAAGCATCGATATTTTCTCACTTCAGTTGCTGCTGTACTGATAAGTTAATCAGTAAAGCTCAGTTTTTCTTCTCTAGGGTTGTGGTATAAAAAGATTTTTTTTTAAATGTTCCAAATTTGCATAATATTCTTTCTGCATTATTTCTGTTGGTCGAGATTTGAACTACTATTTTTCATTGCACTTTTCTTTTCCCCATAGTCCATATAATATGTATACCAAGTTACAGTGAAATAAATCTACCCGAACGAGCTCTACATTAAGTCTGAATAGGTAACTTTAATTATAACCTCTCT